TTTAATTTTTTTCTAATATTAGGATATCTACTCCAGCTTAATGATAATTGTTCATTGCATGATATATCTTTTTCCATCCTTTTCCTTTAACCCTGTCTGCATTTTTCAATGTAATATGCGTATTTTTTAAATCCAATCTGATAACCTCTGCCTTTTTATTTTATTGTTTAATCTACTCAAATTTAATTTTCTTACTAACATGGTTAGATTTACATCTACTATTTCTACTGTTTGTTCTATATATCTCATGTCTTTTGTTCCTATATTCTTTATTTACTGATATTTTTGCATTGTCTTTATTTTCTAGTGTAAAATTTGAATTCCTTTAATAATTTTTCAATATACCATTTTTAAATTATTTTCTTAGTAGTTGTTCTGGGACTTACCATTAACTTAACAGAATTAATTTCAGATTTATACTAATTCGATTCCAGTGAGATATAGAGACATTATTCCTATACAGTTTTTTCTTCTTCTCACTATTTTTTGCTATTTATGTTATAAATGTGTTATTTACATAGATGTGTTAAGTACTATATTTTATCACTATTTTGTATAATTTTTTTTTTTTTGAGGAAGATTAGCCCTGAACTAACATCTGCTGCCAAGCCTCCTCTTTTTGCTGAGGAAGACTGGCCCTGAGCTAACATCTGTGCCCATCTTCCTCTACTTTATATGTGGGACACCTACCACAGCATGGCTTGCCAAGCAGTGCCATGTCTGCACCCAGGATCCAAACCGGTGAACCCTGGGCCACTGAAGTGGAATGTAGAAACTTAACCACTGCCCCACCGGGCCAGCCCCATGTTTTGTATAATTTTATGTCTTTTAAAGAAGTTGAGAGATGAAAACAAATCAAGTATATATTTATAGACAATGTTATATTAACCTTTTTATTTATCTGGTTCTCTTCATTTGTTCCTGTGGATTTAAGTTACCATCTGGTGTCATTTCATTACTCTAATGCAGCTTTGCTTCCATCTTTTTTGCTGTTTTTAAGTATATTACATTTCTATGCATTTTAAGCCTAAGTAGTATACAATTGCCTTTTAAATCAGGTAAGAGAAGAAAAGTAAGAAATATGCATCTATAATGTCTTTTATAATTACAAAATTGTCTTTAGTCACACTCTTTGATTTTTCATGTGGATTTGAATTACTCTCTGAGTTCACTTGCTTTCAGCCTGAAGAACTTCCTTTTAGTATTTCTTGTATGACGGGTCTGCTGGCAATGAATTCTCTCAGTTTTTGTTTCTCTCTGGATGTCTTTATTTTGCTTTCACATTTAAAAGCTTTTGTCAGTAGAGTTAAGATATTTGGTTGGCAGTTATTTTTCTTTCATTGCTTTGAATATGTCATCCCACAGCTTTGTGGCCTCCATTGTTTATAATGAGAAGTTAGATCTTAGTCTTATTGGATTTCTTTATATGTGATGAGTTGATTTTCTTTTGCTACTTTCAAGATTTCTTTTCTTTTTCTTTGGCTCTCAATGTCTTCACTATGATATGTCCAGCTGTTAATTTCTTTGCATTTGTCCTATTTAAAGTTTATTGAAATTTTGAATGCGTAGATTAACGCTTTTCTGCATATTTAGGGAGTTTGGGGCCATTATATTTTTAAAATGTTTTTTCTATTTCTTTCTCTCTTCTTTGGGTACTCCCGTTTTCCGTATGTTTTTATGTTTAATAGTACCCCTCATTCCTCTAAGGCTCTGTTCATTTTTCTTCATTCATTTCTCACTGGAAAACTAGCTGACCTACAGTCTAGCTTGCTGTTCTCATGGACCTACTAACCTCTTAATTGCTTACCACCAAAATCTATGTTGTTTTGGAGAGCATCCTTAGGCTTGAACTTTACCATACCCTGATACGAGCAAAATTGAAGTTCACCACACTGTTACAAGCAGAGTTACATTAAGGAGAGCTTCAGAATTCTTTGTGCCTATGGCCTGCCTCTCCCATTGGGCAAAATCTTCACGAGCAGAATTCTGGGAAGGGCAGTGGTTTCTGTTCTTCTGATCTTTCTTCTCTCAATATGAAACCTCCATCTTTGAGCAGGCTCGCGTGAGGGCAATTGAGTATCTCAGCTCACCATGCCTGAGGTAGAGCTTCCAGAGGGGGTCACACGGAGGAAGGGAACTGCCAACCTCTTAACTGTTCTCATCTGAAATTTGGTCTCTGCAACATGGAGCTGGATTGGATGAGAAATGTTGGCAGCGTGCATCTCCTGGAGTATGCTCTAGCGCTTGACTGGAAACTGCGAGGAGAAGGAGCCTGGTCTTCTTGGTCAAACCCACATAGAGTATAGTTTCTGTCATGCTGAGACAGAAAGGGAGACAGAGAGAGTAGTTTTTGGCTCAAGTTCTACATATTCTTGCTGTTTCTACTAAAACAGTGGATTTTCTTGAATAAATACTTGAATAAGCACTACATTCCCTAGGACAATTTCCAGATACTTTAAATTGTTGCTTTTTAAAATATATTTAAGTACATTTTCTTACACAGTCATGCACTTCGCAATGATATTTTGGTCAGTGATGGATGGCATATAAGATGGTGGTCCCATTAGATTAGTACCATATAGCCTAGGTGGGTAGTAGGCTATACCATCTAGGTTTGTGTAAGTACATTCTGTGATGGTCACACAATGACAAAATCACCTAATGATAATTTCTCAGAATATATCTCTATCATTAAGTGGCACATGGCTGTATTCTATTTATTATAGTAGATACAATGATTTTCTGCTAATTTTTTAAAAATATTTTTTATATGGTAAGAAAATATAACATGAGATCTATTCTCTTAACAAATTTAAGTGTACAATACAGTATTGTTGACTGTAGGTACTATGCTGTGCAGCAGATCTGTAGAACTTATTCATCTTGCAAAGCTGAAACTTTGTGCCTGTTGATTAGTAACTCCTCATTCCCATTTCTCCCTCCCTGAGCCCCTGGCAACTACCATTCCACTCTTTGATTCTGTAAATTTGACTTTTCAGATACTTCATATAAGAGGAAACATGCAATGGTTGCCTTTCTGTGACTGATTTATTTCACTTAGCATAATATCCTCAAGATTCATTCACGTTCTTTTATGTTGCAGAATTTGCTTATTTTTTAAGGCTGAGTAATATTCCATTGTAGATTTATAACACATTTTCTTTATTCATTTGTCTACCCATGCGCATTTATCTTGTTTCCACAGCTAAGCTATTGTGAAGAGTGCTGCAATGAACATGGGAGTGCTAATATCTCTTCAAGATCCTGATTTAAATTCTTTTGGACAAATATTAGGAGTAAGCTTGCTAGATGATATGATAGATCTATTTTTAATTTTTTGAGGAACCTCCATACTGTTTTCCACAGCAGAAGCACCATTTTGCATTCCCATTAACAGTGTACAAGGGTTTCAATTTCTTCACATCCTTACCAACACTTGTTGCCTTTGTTTTGTTTTGTGTTGTTTTGATAATAGCCATCCTGACAGGTGTGAGGTGATATCTAATTGTAGTGTTGATTTACACTTCCCTGATGCTTAGTGACACAGCTTTTTTTTATATACCTTGACCATTTGTATGTCTTCTTTAAAGAAATGTCTACTCAAGTCCTTAGTATATTTTTTAATTGAGTTATTAGGTTTTTTTGCTATTGAGTGGTAGGAGTTCCATACATATTTTGGAGATTAACCCCTAACTCGGTGAATTCTTAAAATAAATTTTTAGCAGTTATAGTTATTTCTCTGGGGAAAGGGTCTTTGGATCTCCTTATACTGCCATTCTGGAAATGAGATATATGTTTTCTTTTAACAAAGAATGTCTTTAACCAATTTTTGCTTTTGTTAGAACATATACCATTTAAAGTAGTACAAGGCAATAGTATTGAAAATCTTTTGGGAGGGTTATTTGCTTTTATTTTTTGGGACCTTGATGCATATCTAACAGTTGCAGAAACATGCTATAATATATGCTGTATTGTGAGCACCGTCCAAGGAATGCCCCAGGAATGAGACAAATGGTGTATATATTACTTCATCTAATGTAACAGCAAATGTGCGAAGTAGATGATATCTCATCATCTTATACATATAAAAATTGAAGCTACGAATGTTAAGTGGGTTGTCTATGGTCAAATGGCTGATAAGTGGTGGATCGTAAGGAAACCATCCCCAATACTCCCATCCAGGGTGAAAATCCTTTGTGCAATCTTTCACACTCGACAATAGGCAATTACAAGGCTTTTCCTGGAAGGCCTCCTGAGAGAAAGGTGCCTTTCCTGTAGTCAACTTGGTGCACAGCCAGTGAATTGCAGTTTTCTGGAGGGATTGGTAGTCAAAGACTCAAGACTGTGACAACAGAGCATTAAAACAAGTGTGAGGCTCTTTTAAGCACAGGGCCCTGTTTGACTGCACACATCATGCATCCACGAAGCTGGCCCTGCCTCTATTACATTAAATATCTCGTCAGGTACACACCAGGGCATTTCATCTCTCCACACTTTTGCACAGTAGCTTCCTCTTCCAGTTCTTGCATATCTCCACCTAGAAACTGCCTGGGCATCCTTAATACTCAGATTTCCATGGCAACCCTGACAGAGACTGTCACTGTGTCTTTTGTGCTTTCAGAGCCTTTGCATATATCTTTGTTGTACTGCAGAATCACCATACACATTACATTGTGATTTTTTATGTTTCTCTCTTTTTTGCTAATTAACAAATGTTTTAAGTAAAGAGATCAGGACTTTTACATCCATTTAACCACAGGAATTGACGTGTTGCCTGGCATATGATTGTGGAAGGAAGGAAAAGCAGAAGGAAAACAAATGAAAGAAGAAATCAATGTGCTTCTTTGCTTCCCCAAATTTGTGTTTTTAAGTACAATTTAAGAACTTCGATAGTGTCACATATGTTAACTATCGCACAGTAGGACTCTATTTCAGTCATCTGAGGAAGGTTATAAGAGCAAAGTTATGAAGACTTATTATTATTAAAGGGTAATTCTTACCTGTTCAGATTACAAAATGTCACAGCCGGGAACTCTATCTTTTCCACATACTGAACTTCTATAGATGTCGTGGTTGGCCACGTGAAGTAGTTGACCAAGCGACTGTAGATCTGCCACACCACGAGTAAGACCGAGCCCAGGACCACCATCAACCAGATCGCCTTGCGAATTTTGCTCCGGTTCCGTACAACATTATGTACCCCATGAAAGGAAGTAGAGATGGCAAAATCGTGGTGAAACTTCTTTTGGTCAGTGGGAGATGGCAGCGGTTTCTTTGAAAGGCAAAGCTTTATCTTTTCCAAAAGTCCTTAAGGTTTTGCCCATAATATAATTAAACCAAAAAAGGTAATGAGTTAGGAAATCCATGCTGTCTGTAAACAACACAACTAACGTAAGTATAAACAGGTTTCCCTTTCTATGTGTCATGCGTAAGGACTCAGTATTCACCTTGAGTTGCATGGTTTATCCAGGAATCAAGAAATAGAACTGTTGACTAAATGCATCTAAGGAGAATATGCTAATGCTATGTAGAGAGTGCCTCTTGTTAGTGCAAATGTATTAGTGCAATCACATTAATATGTTGTTACTTCCAATTTTGAAAGGAACCCACTTTGAATAAGTTGCTTACAACAACTCACAGTCTTTTAAAAATTAACTCTAATGTTTAAAATACTCTTTTTCCCTGAAGAATCATGAATTTCCGTAGCTGTCATAAGCAAAATCAGGCTGATTCTTCTGAAAGTCATAAGTGGGGCTAAAAAGAACTCTGTTCTTGAATTAATCTTAGTCTTGTGGTAGGATATTTTATGGCTGAATGTAACTTTCATAGCTTCATATGCTTTGATAAACAACTATTTTACTGCAGTTGGTGTTTAGTCAGAATGTTTAAAGTTGCATTATTAGTTAAGTAATCTATTGTCTGCCTCTTTCAAAAGTAAATTTACCCTTTTAAGATCATCAATAATCAATCAAATCATGTTTATTGATATTGATTGATAAGGACCAGTAGGGGTGGCCTTAAAATTTTTATGGCAATCTGTAACATATTCAGAATTCTCTTTGGGTTTAATTTGTTTTCTTTTTTTTGTAGAAGAAGACATGGAGAATTCCTTTGCCAAGCGAAGGCTACAATACAGTTCAGAGAATGAGACGGCCTTTGAAATGAAAAGATATTGCTTCTCGTTCAGCCCTTGCATCTTGTAACCTGTGTGACTTTTAGGCAAGTTTCTTAATCTTTCTAATACTTTGTTCCTCTTTTGTCAAATGGGAGCAATAGTCTCTGCCTCCTCAGTTTGTTGTGAGTGTTAAATAAGATAATACCTGGGGACAGATTGGCACATTACCTGGACCTTGATAAGAACTCAATTAATATTAGCTACTTTTGTTGCTTTTCTACAATTTAGTAGTGATGTGGTAAATGGTAAAATATTCAGGGACTTTTGAACACTGTCTAAACTTCTCATGTAAGAAATGAATTCTCACTGGCCTCATAAATGTTCATAATTAGATGAATCCACTTTTATTGCTTCAATTCAAGAAGTATTCAAGAAGTAAGGATATCTGTGGAGATTGAGGGGGGGAACCAGATGTGTGGGAGGCTATGGGAACGTGATAAAGCTGAGAAATCAATGGAGATCAAGTGGCCATATGGTTAGACACACTTGCATGGGGAATGGTGAAAAAATGTTTGCGTTAGAAAAAATATGTACATACATATATTTTATTCATGATCCTTAAAGTACTTTTATCTCACTATTACAAAAAAGTATTATTTTTGTCAACTAACAGTATTAATTTACCTCTAAAAGGTTTCAAGTGTAACTTATCATTAAATCATTATTTAATACTTCATAAATCTTCAATCATTGAGCTACGCTTAAGTCATGGGGTATATAAGAATAGATAGAAGGCACCTACGAACGTTTTCTAAGGGAGTCAATTTCATTTGCAAAATGTTAAGACCCAGTTACAAATTATATTGTGATTATTTTACAGAGACTGTATGCTAAACAGGAAAGTTTGTCTTAATCTAGTTAGCTCATTTTTTGAATAAATTTGACAAAATGCACCACATACTGTTGTTTTTAATATCAAATTAGGTTATTTATATATATGTACATATGTATAAAGTAACTGGCATAGTCATAAGGCAAAATCAGAAGTATAAGACAAGCTATTGCTGTTATTTCTTATCAGCAAGATAAATTTAATAATGCTCTATCTCATATTATTTAGTCGTTAGTTACAAACACATATGAAGAAGCAACTCTGACAGAAGGAGCTCGTCTCTGGGCACTGGGCCCTTGTCTTGCTACAGGGACCAAAGCTTTCAGAAGGGAAGAATAATCTGGTAGTCAGTCACTGACCTAGCAAGTAGTGCTGGTTGCGAGCATTACCCTGAAAAATATGTTTCAAGTTTATCTGTCAAAAATAAACCCATTTAATATAAATTTACTCCTTGACAATTGCTTTGGCTTTACTGGAGTAATCATCCACCTGCTAGAGTTTCAAAATAGTTTTTTCCTAAAATACTATTTTAGATGAATAGTGAGAAATGAGGTGGTGTATTACTGTCAGGAAGATGACAATGGGCTTAATAAATGACCCACCAGCCATAAGGAAACGGCACTGGAGTACGTGCTATGGACTTACGGCAAGTGGCCCTTCAATACTGATCTTTATAGAAGCATTTTGAGGAAGAGCAAACCAATTTTGCTGTATTTTAGAAGTAAAACGTTAGGCATATGATAAACAGAAATCAAAAAAACAAAACAAAATAAAACCAAAGACCAGTTCCTAGCATATAGTAATATTTTAAAACTATTTTCAATTCTCTCATACAAATTGGTCTTTTCCTAAGTAAGAAAAACTGTATTACTTATATTATATACAAATAATATTAGAAATCAACTTTCCCAAATGAAAAAAAAAATCCCCTTTTCTGTTTGCTAATTTCTAGCCTTTAGAAATGAAAATTGTAACTATTCTGAGGCTTTTACTCCTTACCCACCTTTCTCAGCATGTGCTTTTGATGTCTCAACCTTCTCCATTCGCATTATTCAGTAAGAAAGAGTCCTTGAGGTATAATTCAATTTTCACCAATAAAACCTTATTCATTTTGTGGCCTTTATATAAAATACAGCAGTTGAGGTTGTAAAACACGGGGCAATTTAAATGTTTATGTTGCCATGTTTTGCCTCATGAAGCACGTAATCTCCAAACCAAAGACGCTGATAGAACCAGTGATGGGCATTTATGGACTGTTGAGAAGCAAGTGTAAAGTGAAATCAAAAAATATCATTAGGAAATCATTTTTTCAGAATTAAAGGGACAATTCCTACAAATATCTGTGGTTTTAGAGTTAGCCCTGACCAGGCAAGTTGACACTCTGGGGACCTACCAGGTAAAGTCTCCTTAGCTTTTATTTCTACCTATTCTTATAAAGTTTTGATCAAAATGTAGAAATTTGCAGGGTAAAGATGTCTTTTCCCAATGAAGTTTCTTTGTAGCAGATGAAGCTGTTTTAAACAGAAATGGTAATCAATGAAAATGACAAAACAAAACACCACAAAATATCTCCTCAAGAAGAAATGATTACTGAAAGCATGCAAATTCAATAAAGCACAAAATCCAATTATTTGTTCATAGTAACACTTTTGAAAAATTATTAGAATTTATTATATTAAATAATAAAAAGGAGAATATGCATTATTGTGTATAAATGGCACCATCTCTTGACACAACTGAGAAATTGCATATATCTCTACTTAGAGCCTCTTAGAATTGCCATGGTAACATTTTACAAGTAAATAACCACTAACCATTAACATTGTCATGTAGATTTTACATAGATTTTCTTGGAAACTCGGAAACTCGGTACTCTAAGTTGAAACTAGTCTTATACGGAGGCAAACTGAGAAATATCAAGCAACGTAAACAAAAGTCCTGGGAATAATTTCCCAATCACCAAATTAAAAATTTCAAGAAGAGGGTCAATCTCAAGATGTGTGAATCTCTCCAACAAAGATCTTTTCTTCCGGGTGAAACTGCAACTTCAGTTAATTCACAATTTCAGTTAGTTTAAAATTCTTCTGAGAGAAATACCAGCCAACATACCTATTCACCCTTCCGTCCCTTGCTAGTCCTCCTTCTTTCCTCCTACCATCTTTCCACAGCTTTGTGGAGCCCTGACGATGAACAAGTTTACCTTTCAGTGGGCTAAGTAGGCCTAGTTATCAGTTCTCCGCTGGGAGAGCTTCTAAGGACAGAGTCAGTTGTTAGCTGATTTGTCTGGGGACAGACTGGTAGGGCTAGTGCAGAAGGATCCAGGCCAGGCTGGGGGAACAGGACAAGATAAAGACAGTGAGGAGAGGGGGCTCCTGTCGGGGGAAGTTCAGGAAGAAAAATCAAGAGAAAAAACAGGCAAAGAACCTTCCAAAGCCATTGTTTCTCTGCTTCATAATTTAACCAAGGCTCAGGCATAACTAGAAATTTTCTTAAAGTTCATTTGACGTTTTCACTTCCTCTTTCCCCTTGTCCACACCCTTTAGTGACTTCCCCACAGTGCCTTTGTGCGTGCCTTAGAGAAAAAAAGAGCGAAACAGATAGAAAGGCACGCAGGCAAGATCTTGCTCTGTCTTATCTATCCTTTACTAGATAAAGGATAAAAGAAAAGAAGACATCTTCTTATTTTCAGCTGCCCAAGCTTGTTCCTCTCCTCTGCGGTATTTTAAAGTGCTGAATATGTTTACTCTTGTTGTACTGATCTCATAACTTCTCAGCTCTCTTCTGCTTAAAATGAACTTTCCAATGGTGTTTCCTTTTCTTCCTTGCTCTTCAGTTTTACAAATATTTCACTCTCATGTCCATTCTGTTAGTGACGTTTAGTAAATTTGAATTTCATCTTCTCTGTCTAGTGAGGAAATCTCCCTCCCATTTGCCCTTATCTTCCCTGTTTGAAATCAAAGCCTGGCATCCTTGTCCCAGTCATCTCTTCTTTCCCCTTTGTGACCTCAACTTTCTTAACTCTCTAAGGTATCTCTTTAAAACTAAATGCGGAAGCTCTCACTTTCCTTCCTTCTTTCCCCCAGCTCATTGCAGTTGGTGCACACAGCAAGTGCGTTTGGCAAAATATAGATTTACAAATCCCTTCCATCACCAATCCCAACATGCACACAAACATAAAAATGGGTAATTAAGTGACAAAACCAAATCCAAGGAGAATCAAGAGCGTTCTGAATTATCGTTATCTGAAACCCTTGCACACGTAGCATCAGTGGCAGAAAAATCACTCATTACTGCTGATAA